TTTAAACAGACAAAATCTACTGTAAAGATTTCAATCATGCTAACCTGAGAGGCAAGCATATATTAAACTGCAGTAAAATCAATGAATTTTTTTTGGCATGAGCCTGTGCAGCTGAACCAAGGCACCTAAATCAAAATTGTTGCTGTCTCAGTGTAGCTAGCGTTTTCTGCCACTACTGCTTGTTTGATAATAAGTCTCCATTTGCAGGTACCTGTATTTGAGCAAATTAGTGAAAATCAGTGGGGCATTAGGTGCCATTGCTCACCTTATACTTGATCAGATCTGCATTTTTCTTCCCCCCCCCCCCTTGCAACCCCAATGACAGATTTATAGCCATGAACTTTGCTTCCATGTCCAGCAATTTATTTGTGTCTATAACTGTTGCTTCAGTGGGACATCAACTGTTGTATTTTTATGGCAACGTCTTGGTATTAAATTTGAGTGTCCCCTTCCACGATAGCATTGCATCACAATGGAGTTCAAACATTGGCTTCTTGTAGCAGATTTCCTTGACCAAGCCATTGTTATAGCTTTCCTCAGTTGTTGACCAAACTGTGTATTGCATATCCACGCGAACATCTTTAGACGAGGTGCATACCATGTCTCAAGATTGACAATATACTGGCTAGAGAATCCTATGACAAGGAAACAAAAGAATTTTCTAGAAATTTAGCAAACACAAAAAACTATCGATCATGCTGCACTAAATTACCCTGAAAACGAAAAAATGGTGAAAATTGATGACTACGACGCTGCACATGTTTCTAAACTCAGAGAAGACCTTTTTGCTCTACCTCATGGTCCATGTTGTTTTGAAGATGAGGCGACTAAACTGAAGAACAACATCAAGGCAAAAGATGCAGCACTCCGTGGCTCCCTAACTTTCTTTGATTCGGTCTGTCAGGAAAGTTCGACCGCCGTTCCATTGCTTACTGTCGCTGAAAACCTCGTCAGAAAATCACTTCTGTTGCCAGCAAGCCAGATGTTGCATCGATTCTCTTCAGGCTATCACAGTCCTCGGTGAACCTCCGTGGTGAGCTGTTATCTCTTCTTGAAGATCCAGTCTTGGACAGCGCCATGCTTCTCAAACTAAAGCAGACTTCAGCCAAGAGAACAGATGCCCCAGCGACTGTTGAATAGTGTTGCCATTCTGTAGCCAACTATGTATTTTCTTCTCTTTTGTTACTATTCCCCTGGAGAAATGGCTCAATGCCAAGCAACCATGTACGTGTGACGTCCGTGCTACTGCTATTTTTCAGTGTTCTGAACTATGCAAGTCTGTTCTTCAGACTACAGCTATGAGTATTTTATTTTCCATGAAAGATGCCTTGTCTGCAGTGGTGGACCCAGGAATTGAACCGAGCCTGGGCGAAGTCAGAGGAAGTTTTCTTCTTCATTTTAGTATAGAATAGGGTTACAACCACGGACCATGAATATGATCACATATATGAATGCTAGCCTTTTTTTCCATGGCCGCACGTACCTAATCACATTTTTATTAAGAAGAAAAAAGTTATAATAATGCATGATCTTAGTAAATATAGGCTTATTAAGATCAACACCGCCTTTGCAAGACTAGTCTTATAGTATGGACCTAAGGCTCTTCTGACATTATACATCGTGCTAGCGTCCGGCTGAAGGTGGTGATGCATGTTGGTTATGTGGTATCAGGAAATCCCGTCAAGTGAGTTCGTTTAATTTGCACTATATAAGGAGTAGCTATTCATTTGCTGCATAATCCTAGCCTATCTAGTTTTGGATAGTGCGTACATAATAGGCTAAGGAAATATGAAGTTACTCGTAATATAACACATCCAGGAGCCACAAAATAGAAGCATGAGATACATTATTAGAGGTTTGACAGCGGCAATATAATGGTAGTAGTTTTACTAGAAAGTGATATGTGCCAGCTAGTGTCGTACGTCCGTCACCTAGCATTAGCAGGTGCTCCGCTCAGCTCAGGCTTAATTTGCTTGACGGGCGTTCCATTTTCTGTAGCAGCGATTGTAGAATACCATAAAAAAGCGTTGGAGCCCGGGCAACCGCCCACGCTCGCCGGGCCTTGGGACCTCCTTTGCTTATCTGTGTGTTTCAAAAACAAAAAAAAAAATCCAACGTTGTGTACATGCTTTCTATAACACGTTTCCATTTGCCAGATAGAACTACGGCCATCACTCGCGCGCATGGCGCGTGCAAATCACTAGTTATTTTATACGAGTTCGCATGTATACTCGTACTACTACACATGAACACGATGACACGAACGGGCATGCATGCATACAGTCGACACACGAATATATTACGACGAAGGGGATCCGATGCTTTGGGATGAACAACTAATCCACTCTAGAGATTTTTTATTAATAATCCACTAACCTGCAATCTTATCAAACATAATCATTAGATGTTACTATTCTTAACCTCATGGCCTAATATATCCTTAATATTAAACCACGAACCGTTTCTAGTAGCAAAACGCGGAGCCAATGCGATGAGGGTGGTTTTTCCATCTTGGCTCTCGGGTGGTTTTGATGGTGGTTTGCTGATGTGGCGCTATGTCAGCGGGAGTAAATTAAACAAAACTAAAAGTTCATGGAGATAAATGGAACTAGAAAAATATTTTTTAAATAAAATATCTAAAATCTTAAAATTAAGTTTTCCAAATCTATACAAATATTTTACATGAAAAATAGTACAATTAAAAATCCTAAAAATCTGGTTCAATCTTACAAAATTTGTTTTACCCTAGAAAAATTATGAAACTAGTTTTAGTTTTTTTCTAATCATGCTCCATCTTATAGGGCATAGCTTGAAATTATTAGAATCGAATCAATAAAACAATTTCAAGCTAGGCATCTTAAGATAGAGCATGATTTTAGAAAAAAAAAATCAGAAACTAGTTTCATAATTTTTTGAGGTAAAACAATTTTTCTAAGATTAAGCCAGATTTTAGGATTTTTAATGCATTATTTTCCATGTCAAATATTTGCATAGATTTTTGAAAATTTAATTTTAAGATTTTTTGGATATTTTTTAAATATTTCTAGTCCGATTTACCTTCTAAACTTTTAGCTTAGTTTCATGTATCCTCTCTAATGTGGCGCCATACCTGCAAAACCACATGAAATGAAAAATAGATTTAAAAGGTTGAGAAAGGTAAAAAAAATGATAGTTTTGGGAGCAAGATCGGACTAAGGGAGATAATTCGGACATTTCCCTTCTCCAATCCATCAAATCAAATCGGCCCTGGGCTCCATGGAAAAGAGCACCTTAGCACACCGGTCTTCTAGCCCAGCCGCGCGCTCGCGTCCGCTGTGCCCATCGACGGCCCGGGAGACACCGCTTCGAACTTTTGAGCTGCGTGATTGAATCGCGGCTGAATGCGGCCGCGCACTCAACTGGACCGAGAATTTCAACCATCGCATTAACAGGCCACCGGCCCACATACATACGTCTTCCTATAGTGCTCCAAAAAAAAAAGGATCAAAAAAAAAAACATACATACGTCTTCCTGCTGCCAGCCAGCCACTCGGCTCGACGGTGCTGGCCGGCGCTTCCACACGGTTCCACCACACCCGCACACGGCAGCACCGTCTGCCGCTGCCCATCGCTCATGTTGGCCCGATGTGTCATAGGCTCATAGCACTATCGCCCGGTTCCTGGGGCCTGAAAATTGTTTTTTTTTTTTGGAAAACTGGAGGGGTTTGCACCCCTACAGCACATTTATTAAGCAACAAAAGAGTCCAGAATACAAATAGACCAAAACAGTAAGAAGCGCTGGGGGAGCTTCAGGATACAAAGAAGGGGGGAAAAAAAAGAAAATGAGGACTAGCACTGAGAGTGACCATGCTAAGATAGATTGTCGGTCCATTGGCTAAACTCCGGCAAGAATCTTCTTTTGAGTTTCAAGTAAGAGTAACTGAATTTCTTCCCTGAAATTTTCCTTTGCCAACTGAAAATCTGGATTTATCTGACGGAAGATCATGTCATTTCTCGTTCTCCAGATTGTCCAGCACATGATGATAATAATCTCCATAGAAAAAGGAACCTGGAGTTGATCTCTGAAGGTTTTGGGGATTTGGAAGGGGTCCAGCGAGTTGTCTACCTGAATGTTGAGCCATGCCCAGCACTGAATGGCAAAGGGGCACTCAAGAAATAAGTGGCAAAGTGATTCCTCCCTGGGGCCTGAAAATTGTGCTTCTACTACCAAGGAAATTGGTCTTGCCATCGAAATTATACAGGTATAGAACGAAGCAATGTGTGCCTTTGTGGTGCTGATGCAGCCGTTCAATTTAACCGATGCTGGAGGCTGCCACTAGAATTTTGACATGCACATGTAAACAAGTTTGGTGCGCTGCCAAGCCTTTCGTGGTAAAGACAATTCCTTTGAGTAGCTTAGCCCAAATGGAGCAGTGATTAATCTATTTGTTAGCCTAGACAAAAACAGTATGGTACGGTACCTCCAGATCTACATGGTTGTCTTCTCATGATATAAAAGAGCACATTTGATGCTATGTTGTTGGCAATCTACTACGGTCTACAGGTTTGTTATAAGTGTTTGTGACTGTCGTCTGTCTTCTCCAAGTTGCACTGCTACTCATCAGCTTGTTAATAGTAGTTTGGATTCTCCAACGAAGGAGTTTGGATTCAGCAAAAGTTCACGGTTGCAACTGTTCCGAGCTTAAAATCAGCTTGACAGATGCATGACACATCCAACAGAAATAGAAGATTACTACAATATCACCAAGATTCCAGAAACGAAGAAAGCACAAGCTAGGCTATGGCCTGTTCCCAGCTTAAAACCAGCTTGAGTGCTTGACAGAAGCAAGACACACTCAAGAAAATAGAGCATTACTACAATATCACCACGGTTCCAGAAACAACTACACTACCAAGCTTATGGCCATACACAAGCCAAGCCAAAAGTCATGTCATTTAGCATCCATTGCAACAAAAGCGACGAGCTACTTACCAGAGCTTTGATATGAACCCCTCCCCCTTTACCTCTCAGCCTTCGGTACCAAGCGCGCGATTTCCTCCTTGCGCAGTCGACCGCCGTGGTTAACGATGGTGATGCTGTTCTTCCGCCCAGTGTCCCTGTCCTCGGCGGACACCTTCATGACGCCGTTTGCATCGATATCGAAGGTGACATCGAAACCAGGTACACCCTGCGGTGCCGGGGGTACATCGGTGAGCACGAACTCGCCGAGCAGATTGTTGTCCTTGGTGCTCGTGCTCTCGCCCTCATACACTGGAAATGAAACGCTGGTCTGGTTGTCGTAGAGCGTGGTGAAGCGCCGTACCTTCTTGGTCGGGATGGCTGTGTTCCTCGGGATAACCACGCTCATTGTAAAATTATCTTCAGTTTCAATCCCAAGCGAGAGTGGCGTAACTTCACGCAGAAGCATATCCACTAATCTCCCATCGTCGGTTCGACCACTGAGAATAGAGGCCTGGATGGCAGCACCGTACGCAACAGCTTCATCAGGGTTGATGCTCCGGCAAAGCTCCTTCCCACAGAAGAAATCCTGAAGCATGCTCTGCACCTTGGGGATACGGGTGGAGCCGCCCACGAGGACGACGTCGTGGACGCTGCTCTTGTTCATCTTGGCATCGCATAAGCACTTATCCAAAGCCTCCATGCACTTCCTGAAAAGACCCTTGTTGAGCTCCTCGAATCGAGACCGGGTGATGGTGGTGCAGAAGTCAATGCCATCATGGAGTGAGTCAACCTCAATGGTGGTCTGTGTAGTGGAAGACAGCATCCTCTTTGCTCTCTCGCAGGCAGTCCTCAACCGCCGAAGCGCCTTCTGGTTCCTATGTATGTCCATCTTCTTGTGTTTCCGTGTGAACTCCTGGAGAGAGTATTTCACCATCTCGTTGTCGAAATCAGCCCCGCCAAGGTGAGTGTCACCAGCGATGGCCACCACCTCAAAGAGACCCTTATCCTTGTTGGTTCCTGGATCAATCTTCAGGAGGGAGACATCAAAGGTACCACCACCAAGATCGACTACGAGCACCGTCCTTTGTTTGTTGCTGACAGGCATCTTCTCAAGACCATATGCGAGGGCGGCGGCAGTTGGCTCATTGATAATGCGCATTACATTCAGGCCGGCAATGGCACCCGCGTCAATGGTAGCCTGGCGCTGGGAGTTGTTGAAGTAGACGGGCACGGTGATGACAGCATTCTTGATCGTTTTACCAAGATATACCTCAGCTGTCTCTCTCATCTTGGTGAGCACCATGGAGGAGATCTCCTCAGGCATGAACTGCCTCTCCTTGCCTTTATACTGCACCATGATCATCGGCCGGTCATCACGACCTGCGACAACTTTGAAAGGCCACAACTTGACATCTTGTTGTACAGACTCGGCGCTGAATCGGCGGCCAATTAGTCGCTTCACCTCTGTAGAAAATTAGTCATGTAGTCAATCAGATGAACCATGTATAGCTTAACTTCGATAATTTTATCATCATCTGTCAAATGTTATTTCTGTTAGAAAAAAGAGTATGATTTGACACTGCCTTAACTTGCATATGCCCAGGTTCAGATAATGTGGATTTGCAGTCATTAAACACATTAAGAAGTATAATGGGCTGTGTAGCAACGGGATAGTATTGTGGTTGTCACTGGACAGTTGCCAGCATTATCACTTTATCAGAATCTTCGCTGCAATCGATTCTCCTCATCACCCCCCCCCCCCTAAATTTAACTTTGGTTTTAGATAAATTTGCGTTCTAGATTCAACGAGATGAATTGAACAAACAGTTCACACGGAAAGGGGAGGTGTCTGGGCGATACTAAACAGTCTTACGCAAGTCCAAAAAAAATACTCCTTTCCTTTACAAATCCGTGGGTAAGAAAAATAAATGGCATAAATTAGAAATATTAGCTGAACCAAACACGAAGCCAGCTACAGAAGATGCTGTAGCAATCCATTCATCACTCAGTCCCCGGAGTTACTGGGTAAGCACCGTTTGCAGCGGGGGTTTCGATCGATCTAGATAATGCCTGACGCTGCGGCGGGCTGTGAACCGCCGGCACGAGTTTTGTGTTTCTTACAACTGACTGAAAATTGATCTGGGCGGCTGCCCACCAAAACATAACGGAAAAACCCATCTTTGGGCTTCACATAGGTCAAAAACCCCAGCGACTACCAACAAAAGCGGCGACGAACAACTACTGAGATGGAGGCTACAGAACGGAGAAACACCGAGGTGTAGTACTCACCGAAGATGGTGTTCATGGGGTTCAGGGCGGCCTGGTTCACGGCCGCCTCGCCGACGAACCTCTCGGTGCTGGTGAAGGCCACGCAGGATGGTGTGAGGCGGTTGCCCTGGTCGTTGGCGATGACCTCGCTGCGGTCGTGCCGCCACACGGCCACGCACGAGTAAGTAGTACCGAGGTCGATGCCGACCGCCGGACCATCTCTCTTCCTCTTCGAAGCGGCCGCCATCTTCCTTCCCAGAGAACTAGAGAAGCGTGTGCGAGAAGAGTAGTAGTACTACTTTCACAACGCCGAGCGGAGGTGTCAGGCGTGCCAAGACCCAAGAGGGAAAAAACATACTGCACGGTTAAATAAAAGAACCGGCAATAAATCTGATATACAACTGTACCCCCACGACTTGAACTCTAGCTTCACCGCTGGCTGCGGCCACCAACACATCTAGCTCCACCAAGTACGGAGTAACGTGTGATCATTGCTGGCCCAAGAACGCGAGGGCCTCGCCCTGTTCACTTCGTTCAGGTTGAAAAGTATTATTTATTAGTTTGTTACGAGAAAAAAATACTATACAAAAGACACGCCGATAAATTCAAGCGAACAGCACCGGACATCTTGGGCACGCAGTCACCGAGCTCAATGCAAGAGCAAAGAGCAGTTCTGATTTCCTACAACAACCACAGTTATGTCACCGTGAGCAGTGGAATCGAGGAGAGAGGGCTGAGCATCATTAGTGAATCAGTGAAGGGTTTGTGCTTCTTTCATGTTAACCGGAAAGAGGGGTACGCATATGCTCACAGGTGAATCGCTGAATCTTTGAACAAATATAGTAAATCACAAAAAAATTATAAAATAAAAAATCCAATTTTGTTGAACTCCATATAAGTAGATCTACACAGTGAACATATAATATGTTGTGCTTCTTTCATGTTAATTTTGTTGTAGCTTTAGATCTATGTTTTTCTGTAATTAATTGGAATAATTCATAGCTACAACTTCTATGTTTCATTTGTGGTGAAATTTTTATGGTAGGCTAATTATTGTTTGCTTGAATTATAGTAAAAATTTCATACTCGTTGGATCATGTATAACTTAGTTATAGATAAAGCATAGATTTAACAAGCATAAACCTAAATAAATCTATAACTAAGTTATACATGATCCAATGAGTATGAAATTTTTACTACAGTTTAAGCATACAATAATTAGTCCGCCATAAAAATTTCATCACATTTGGACCATAAAAGCTATAGCTATGAATTATTCCAATTAATTACAGAAAAACATAGATTTAAAACTACAACAAAAACTTTATACTAAAACATACCATATTATATGTTTACTGTGTAGATCTACTCATATGGAGTCCAACAGAACTAGATTTTCTATTTTATGATTTTTCTGTGATTTACTATGATTTTTTAAAGATTCAGCGAAAATAAATAAAAAAAAAAAAAAAAAAACCACTGCTATAGCAAAACACCCTCCAAAACTGTTTAGGGGGTTATTTGACCGGTTTTGAAAAATTTACGAGTAAAAAATTTGGTTTTATAGTTTGGGATGAAGTAGTCCACCCTAAGTAATTGAGGGTTACGTAGACTTTTTTCTATGCTCATCCATAAAGCGTGGGGTAACATGAACACCTCGAGTAGAAAGACACTAGACAGGGAGGAAAACCAGGAGGGAGAAGGGAAAAACCGCATGAAAACCGAGGGATAGGCTCTAAGGCCATTAATTATTGGCTTGTGTACTGTGTTTGGTGTTGCGCTTTACTTCTGTTGGCAAAGGATGCAATTCTCATTTTTCTTTGAGTCAATTAATCTAAAGTTTGGTCAAAATTATATAAAAATTTACAAATATTTATGATACAAAATAAGTATTATTAAATTTATAATAAAAATTTTATAGTAAATCAAGTTAGAGATATAAATGTTAATATTATTTAATATAATTAGATAAAGTTAAGCTAGCTTGATTTGTATTCCCTCTATACTGTTAATTTAAGTCGAATTGGACAAAGTTTGATCAAACATTGGGAATATAAAGCGTGAATAAGTTTTAAGTTATTAAGTTTGGAAATATAAAAACCATATGAATAGATTTGTCTTGAAAAGCACTTTCATAAATATATACATATAACACTTTTCCAATAAATATTTTTATAAAAATAAGAAGTCAGAGTTATGCTTTGGAGACCATATCGCTATTTAAAACGACTTCTTTTACTAAATTGTAGGGAGTACAAATATTATAGTTATATTTTTTTATGACCGAAGGCGATAGAACTTCTAAATGAGTACTAGTGCGCTGCTTATAACACAGAAAAAGAGGAAAATTTGTTGCTCGAAGTCGAAACTATCCATCTACTACCTTCGTTCCACAAAAGAACGTAATTATATGAATCATACCGGTCAAAATAGCTCATATTGAATTAAGTTTATAATAAATAGTAGAGTTAAATGCATCGTAGGCCTTTGAACTTGTCTTGGGGTGCCACTTAAGTCCATAGACTATCAAATCGTACTTCTGGCACCCTAATGTTATTTAAGTATGCCACTTACGTCCATAACTCAACGAAAGCAAGGTTTTGGCCGACGTGGCGTGGACAACGTGGCGCTGACTGGGTCCAAGCGCACATGAGCCGCGCGTGAGCCTAGTTTGGGGCGTGCAAATAAACAGAGAGGCCACCCAGTTCTCCTGTTCTCCTCCATTTCCCCTCATGTTACTTTTCCCTTCTCTATCTCTGTCTCTCTGCCCGAACTCACTCTCTAAGCCGCCGCCGTGTCGATCTACTCCATGGCGCCACCATGGAGCACGTTGTGCTCCAATAGAAGTGCGGGCGGCTTCCCCTCATCCTGTGCAACGAATGCGGCGGTCGAATGGTGGTGAGGCGTGTTTCCATGCAGCCATGGAGTGCAGGGAAGGTATTCTACTGTTGCCCAGACCATAAGGTGAGTTAGGGTTTGATGATTCAAATTTTTGGCACTTGGATTGCTCTGTCTTTGTTGCAATTGAGTTAGATTTGGTTATTTTGGCAGAGGGATGGCAGTGGGTGTCCATTTTTCTACTGTGAAGCAAACTACATCAAGCACATCTTAAAGATGCTGAAGGAAGGTGGCAATGGCACATGTGAAGCCCAGTCCTAAGGAGAATCAAACCTACGTCCCTATGCTGGCCTGATGGACAATGCAGTGGCCAACAAAGCTCAAGGAAATCAAGGGAATGACCAAGACGTAGTTCGTTTGCTGAATGTGATATGTGTTCTCTGTGTGTGTATAGTGTTGTCACTTGTGTTAGTTGTGGTTGTTCAGTTGTGCAAATAAACTCAGTCACAACTGTGTAAGAGTACTCATTATGTAATGTGAACATCTGAAGCAATGGAAACCATCATTTTTATCTCAATTTTCCATCTATTTCATAGTTCACCTGATAGCAGTAATAGCATCCATATGCACATACACTGTTTTGGTCAGTGATTCATGTGATGATCTAAACAAAAGACTATTGCCACCATCTCAAACATTGTTCTGGGGCCTTGATAAGCTTTACAAAAGACTGTACATCAGAATCTAAAGCCTTATGCTGGTGCTGAACAAAAGCACAGAAGGACTACACAAAAGCATAAAAGGACTTGTCATCTTCTACTGCTGGTCTGTAGACTTTGGACATCAGGTCTTCTTCTTCTTATGGTCTCCTCCCTTCTTCTGCTGACCTTTGGACTTGTCACCCTGCTTGGCACTTCTCTTATATGATGTTGACCTCCCCAGCTTTGTTGCAGTTGTAGTTGGCAGTGGTCTTGTGGTTGGCAGGTTTGTTCCAATGAATGCAGAGGCTGGCATTGGTTCCTGTTGCCTCACCATGCTGCTGGTCTATGAAGACTGAAAGAAAATAAGTGTTTGTTAAATGTGACAATAATAGTTGTTAAAGCTTAGTGTCCTACCTCTTCTTATAGCTGTGAAAGCATAGTGTTTGTTAACTGTGATAGTAGTGGTGTGTTAGTTTCTGGAAAATGAATGGCAACCTACAAGCATAGACAGTTAGCTGTGCAAGTATAGTGTAAAATTGGTGTATTATGAGTAAAATATTTGGTCAGTCCATACTACCTATGTAATCACTGGATCTTCATCTAAGTTGTCATCCATTTGCTGTGTAGGGTCCTCTTCTTGTGGTTCTTTCATAGTTTTCCTCATAGGCTGTAGTTTGGGCCTTATTCCTGACTTCCTTAACTGACAACCTGCTCTGTTGTGGCTTTGATCCCCACAGTAGCTACAAGTCATTTGCATTCCATGCTTTGACATTTTTGTTCCACTAGTTCCTTCTAATTTCACTGGTTCTTTCCTTCTATTCTTAAGAGGTCTGCCCACCTTCTTGTCGTACAGAGGAGGAAGCACAACAGGAACTCCTTGAACCTTCTCCCAAATGGACTTGTCAGCACATGGATAGATCTTGGGACCATATGCAATCAGAAATCTTGCTGAAGTATAGCAGTCATGGACCATTGTTTCAGTGGGTATCCTTTCATGCCTTAGGCAAGAAATGACATGTGAACAAGGTATACCAGTGAGATCTCACCTTCTACAGTCACATTGTTTTAGCCCAATGTTAACTACTAACCAATACTCCCTATCCTGTACCTAAAATATACCATGTCCAGAAGGTGCTGCAAAACAAGTGTTGGCAAAATCTAAATTCTTCTTAACTTTCTTCCTAATCTTTGGGCAGATTGGTCCCTGCCATACTTCTCCAACCTCTTTCTCCTTGTTGTAGTACCTACTCATCAGTTGGCCCTTGATGGCCATTGATGTCCAGAAGGAGTTGTTGAAGTAAACCGGGATGGTGATGACGGCGTGCCTGATCGTCGTCTTGAGGTAGACCTCTGCAGTCTCCATCTTTGCCAGCACCATGGCAGAGATCTCCTCGGCAGCAAACTATTTCTCCTCGCCTTTGTAATGCACCACAATCATCGTCCTATCCTCACGACCAGGGACGACTTTAAAAGGCCATAACTTGACATCTTCCCGTATGGTCTCGTCGCTAAATCGATGGCCGATCAGTCGCTTCACATGTGTATATAAGAGACTAACCATCAATCAAGTGCATAGAACTTTGCATCAAGAATTAGATAATCAGTTATTCAGTTAGTGCCATTTGGCTATTTGCATGCAACAATTGAACGAGTCTTTGATTTTTCCTCTATAAAATTGAAGGGTTTGGATGGCCACTAATATTCAATACCGGCGCTTGGGGAAACTAAACAGTCACGTGGAAGATAGAAAAGTGCTCCACTAAGATCCGCGTGGCTCATTTAATTTGGGGAAAATGGAAAATACAGAAATTTGTGAGTATGAACAGGCAACGGTAGTAATAGGGAACAGGATGAACGCCCTTGTCATATGATTTGACTCATATCATCCATAGTTCTTGGGTAGCCATCGTTTATAATCCGCGGTCACGGGCAACAAAGAGCAAGGCACGCCACTTCTGTGCTCGCATTTCTTCCTAGTTCCTAATAGTACCAGTCACAAAACACCTCGACGGCATGCAACGATGTATAGAAACAAATGCAATAAAGTTTAGAGTTTCTCAGCATGGATGGTGTTGTCAGGGTTCAGAGCAGCCTGGTTCACGGCCGCGTCATCGACGAGCCTCCCGATGTCGGTGAACGCAACGCAGGACGGCGTGAGGAGGTTGCCCTGGTCGTTGGCGATGACCTCGCCGTGGTCATGCCGCCACACGGCCACACATGAGTACGTGGTCCCCGGGTCGATGCCGACCGTCGGCCCGTCGCCAGTCGACGCCGCCATCTCCATGTTCTCAGATGCGAGGTGAGAAACAGGTGGCACTACCGCCGCCAAACGAGCTCCGAGAGTCAGAGAGACTCGAGGTGTGCGCGCGGCGCCTGCGTGAGCGTGTGTTATCCTAGGAGCGGCAGAGGCCTGGGACATAAATATGGGTGAACTCTTATTTAAAATGAGAAAATTGCATATTTGGGACTCTAATTGTTGTGCTTCGTAGTTCTAGGACTTTAATCGTCGACTTCGTAAAAATAACCCTCCAAAGATTGAAGTCTTGATTTTCATGATATTATGTGTATTTTCTTTCTTTTCTTACACATATACATGTATTTGGCACCGTACGTATCTAGGAAGGAAAGTCCGAGCCACCCGACTTGGTAAAAATAATCCTCTAAATTGGCCCTTCGCTTCCCTTGGCCATGGCCGATGAAGGCCAGGCAGCGGCTACAAAGTGGCTGGCCACGAGCGCCCGAGACGACCTGGCCACGACGGACGCCGTAGACCTAGACACGATAGACGCTCGAGGCCTGCCCACACCGATCGCTTAAGGGCTGGCAGCGGCCGTTGAAGACATGGCCGTGCCCGAGGGCTCCATGGATGGCGAAGCTCCACCGCTAGCCACCGCTATGTCTAGAAATTTTAGCAAAAAATCCAGGCGACGGGCCATCTAGCCCAGGCAGCAAGGGCGGCAGCGGCCAGGAAGCCTGCCCAGGCAACGGTCTCGGCCATCAATTATGCACGTACGTACATCAGGAACAGAAGGATAAAGATAAAAAAGAAAGAAAATACATATAATGTCATGAAAATCAAGAGTCTAACGTTTGGAGGGTTATTTTTATGAAGCCAACGATTAGAGTCTTATAACTGCGAAATGCGACGATTAGAGTCCCAAATATGCAATTTTCTCTATTTAAAATAGTAATCTCTTCCAATGAGTGAGGCTCCCTTTCACATCATCAATCAAATAAGAAACATTAAATTTCATGCTTATTAAATCGCAATGTAAAACCAAGTTACCAACCGTCAATCCTAATTTTTCATCGTCCATATATATTTGCGTTGCGCGCCTCACCATCACCATGGTCCCATCCGCATCCACATACCAGAGCACAGCCCGAGCTGGCATGGCCTGGTACATAGGGCTGTGCTGGGCCGCACCCCAGGCACATGGGCTGGGCCGGCATGGCCCATAATTTGGTGAGAGGTCCGATGGCGGCTCGATGACCACCCTGGCCTGCTAAGAGCCCACCAGCCTCCTTCCCCATAACCCTAACTTTCTTTCCCTACTCCACCCCTCTCTGTGCCGTACTCTCTCACCTGTGAGCCACGTGAGATGCCGAGATAGCGATGCGCTCAAGCCCCTCTCTCTCTCCCGATGCCGCTAGCCCGCCACCTTTGTGCCTAGCTGCAGACGCCGGCTTAAATGGCTCTAGTGCCTCCGCTGAAAGGTCCTAATGGCTAGAGGGGGGTGAATAGCCTAATAAAATTTCTACAACAACACTTAACAAAAGGATTAGACAATTATGAGGTGAAGCGAGTTTTGCACTAGCCTACCAAAATGCAAGCCACCTACCACAATTCTAGTTTAGATGGAGTATATCCACACAATAGCTATATCACTACACTAAGTTAGTGTGCTCTCAAATGCTAACTAAAGAACCACACTAACCAAACTAACAAGCTCTCACAACTAATTACACTAAAGAGCTTGACAACTAGTTTACGGTAATGTAAAGAGTAGGCAAGAAGGTTATACCGCCGTGTAGATGTATGAACCAATCAATCACAAGTGTGGATAATAATGAAGACCAATCACCTCGGAATCAATGATGAACACAATGATTTTTTACCGAGGTTCACTTGCTTGCAAGCTAGTCCTCGTTAGTGGCGATTCACTCACTTGGAGGTTCACGCTAATTGGCTTCACACGCCAAACCCTCAATAGGGTGCCGCTTTAACCAACACAATATGAGGATCACACAAGCCACGAGCAATCCACTAGAGTACCTTTTGGCGCTCACATGAGAAAAGGTCAAGAACCCCTCACAATCACCACGATTGGAGCCGAGACAATCACCACCCTCCGCTCAACGATCCTCGCTGCTCCAAGCCATCTAGGTGGCGGCAACCACCAAGAGTAACAAGCGAATCACGCAGCGAAACACGAACACCAAGTGCCTCTAGATGCAAACACTCAAGCAATGCACTTGGATTCTCTCCCAATCTCACAAAGATGTTTAATCTATGATGGAAATGAGTGGAAGGGCTTTGGCTAACCTCACAAGGTTGCTATGTCAATATAAATGGCCAAGAGAGTGAGCTTGAGCCAGACATGGGGCTTAAATAGAAGCCTCCATGAAATAGAGTCGTTGTACCCCTTCATTGGGTAAACGCGGGGTGACTGGACGCTCCGGTCCGAGCGACCGGACGCTGGCCCTCAGCGCCCGGTCACGTGATACACGCCATGTGTCCCCTGCTTCAAATATAGTTCGTCGGATTTCAACGGTCATCTCCTGACCGGACACTGTGCACAAATGGACCAGACGCTCAGCCTCCAGCGTCTGGTCGTTTCTAGTAAGGTTCTAGAAATGATATTTCACGACCGGACATGTCCGGTCATGCTTGACCGGACACAGCCAGCGTTCGATCACTTATTGACTTCATACTGCGCTGTTGGTCAACACGACCGGACACAGCCTTCCAGCATCCGGTCGCTGAGCGACCCAACGTCTGGTCGCTGTTACAATTTGATCAGACGGGCTGGTTCCTCAGAGACTAGTGTCCGATCACTTTGTGACCAGCGAGACCAACTCCTCTTCATGTCTATCTTCTTCACCCTTGCTCAAATGTGCCTACCACCAAGTGTATCACCTTGTGCATATGTGTTAGCATATTTTCACAAACATTTTCAAGGGTGTTAGCACTCCACTAGATCCTAAATGCATATGCAATGAGTTAGAGCATCTAGTGGCACTTTGATAACCGCATTCCGATACGAGTTTTACCCCTCTTAATAGTACGGCTATCAAACCTAAATGTGATCACACTCTCTAAGTGTCTTGATCACCAAAACAAAATAGCTCCTACAAAATATACCTTTGCCTTGAGCTTTTTGTTTTTCTCTTTCTTCTTTTCAAGTTGAAGCACTTGATCGTCACCATGCCATCATCATCATGCTATAATCTTCATTTGCTTCACCACTTGTAGTGTGCTACCTATCTCATGATCACTTGATAAACTAGGTTAGCACTTAGGGTTTCATCAATTCACCAAAACCAAACTAGAACTTTCAATCTCCCTTTTTTGATAATTGATGACAACCCTTTCACAAAGATATGAATTGAAATTGAATTGAATCCATGTTGCTTGCCCAAGCATTTTTACCATTTGTAAAAGGATATCGACAAGTTTCATGAACTCTAAATGGTAGCAATTGCTCTCCCTACATATGTGCTAAGAGTTTGGATTGTAGCTTGCACATATGCTTAGATAGGAAATATAGGAGACAATGTCTCCCAAATGGTGCTAAGATATAAAAGATGGACCTTTGAAGCGTGATACCAATCGGAGTACACCAATATACCATCATTAGCATCATGGTTAGCTTGATACCACTTGGAAATAACATTTGAAATGAAATCACTAGATAACCTATGCATGCTAGTTTTTCATTTCATCATTCAAACATATAACTAGCATACACCACACAAGCATGTATATTGAAATTTAAAACATGTGCCATGCAAGCAAACATATGAAATGCACATTCAAATGCACCATACAAGTTCATGAGCTTGCTCCCCCTACTTGTGTGCTCAAAATTTTAAATTGATCCATTTTCCTTTGTCATATCTCTCCCCCTATGTCAAGTTCTCCCCTATCACTTATATCTTTATTTCTCTCCCCTTTGATGTCTATTTACTATCTTTGTGCACTATTTCTCCCCCTTTGTCATCAATGACCACAAAGGTTAAAAAAATAGGTTAGGATTATCAATGTCAATCAATGGGGTGAGTATCATATTCCCAGATTTGGTCCAATCTATATCATTTGCTAAAGATATTTAACTCGGTTTGATCAAAGGACAAGCTTTTTCACACCTCCAAATAAGGGTTATCTTGTACCATGTTGAGTTAAACACTTAAAGCTCATTTTCTAGATTAAACACTAGGTTTGCAAGCCTACAAACATGTCATATGCTACCACTAGATCAAGTCAAGCATAGAAGCAATAGTGATACCATATAAACATCAAATTCATTTGATTTTCATGAATGAGCCTAATAAAATGGAGAAATGACTAGATGCACTAAACGTGTCCTTAGCAAGGATGTATGCCATGCCAATCAACTTTTACCTTGGATTGCTCGAAGGAGAGGCAAGTCATATAAGTGGGGGTGCATCAACACATATTTGAGAAATCCAATATGTTCAACCCATTCCTTAGCTTGCAAAACCTTTTCTCATCCAATGGCTTGGTGAATATATCAGTAAGTTGATCTTCGGTGCCTACACTCTCAATGCAAATGTCCCCTTTTTGTTGATGATCTCTTATGAAATGGTGGTGGACATCAATGTGCTTTGTTCTTGCATGTTGAACCGGATTGTTGGTTAACTTGATTGCACTCTCATTGTCACATAGCAATGGCACTTTCTTGAACTTGATTTCAAAGTCACTCAAAGTGGCCTTCATCCAAAGTATTTGTGCACAACAACTACCGGCGGATATGTATTCGGCTTCGACGGTTGATAATGCAATACTATTTTGCTTCTTTGATGACCATAAAATAAGTGATCTTCCCAACAATTGACATGTGCCCGAAGTGCTCTTCCTTTCAACCTTGCATCCCGCATAATCCAAGTTGGAGTAACCAACTAGCTCAAACTTTGCTCCTTTGGGATACCACAATCCAACATTTGGTGTATGCTTCAAGTACCTCAATATTCTCTTTGTAGCCTTCAAATGACTTTCTCTTGTTGAGGCTTGAAATCTTACACACATGCATACACTAAACA